AAATCACATATAATCTACCTTCTAAGGTATAAAATGTGGCCCTCAAACACCTTAGGGAAAGGCCAAGGTCTGAACTAGGAATTGTGTTCACAGCCTCTACTCCGATGTTTACATCAGCCCCTCTGGCCATGCAGTCTGGGCTCACTAGAAGAGGCAGTGGCATTCCTTAGTGTTGTTCTGAAAGAAACCTTCCCACTCTAGGACACACCCATGTGGGCGTGGCAAACCCCTCCATGATGACTTCTGGACAGTGACATTAACTAACCACAAGCAGGTGACAAGAAGTGGCCCTAGGCCACAGGGCATGTGTCATATGGCTAGAATATATAGCCATCTGCCCAACTCTCAGGGACTCTATCTTCAGGCCTGCTGCCTGAGATGTACCAACACAAGCTCTCGAAATCAAGTGTTCGAATGGAGGTTGTCCATGGTGTGTTCATTTTTTTTATGATGAGTATTACATGGCCAATCTCCTTTCGGCACTAAAATCTTCCTGGGAGAGCTTCTCCGACTGTGTGGGTTAAGGAAATAAATTGTTCCCTGTACTAAGTGCTTTTCCTGGGACTTATGTCACCTGGTTGTCAAAGTAAGATTTCCCAGAAATGACAGTGACTATTTCAGTGACTCTGTGGTTGTCTGGCCATGGTTGTAAAGAACAGAGTACATTGTGTACTCTGTATTTAGATGAGAAAACATCAAAGATTTAGGCATACTGCAGATAAGAACAAATTTCGTTCACCCATGGGGTGGTGTTAACCACAATTTAACTACAACTCATTCCTTACCAGTTTCACCAGTCCAGGGGTAATCTCAAGGAAGTAGAAACAGCTCTCAGGCTGGTGAATGGGGAGAGACGTCTCACAGTGACATTTAGTGACATGAGAATGCTGATGTCCTTTGCCTGCTTCAGTGTCCCTTGGGAAGGAGAGGACTCAGCAGCATTCATTACCACCTGATGCTTGCTAATGGTGTGACCTTGAATGAGTCAGCCTGTCATCTGTCTGTGCCTCCGTTTGTCTGTCTGAGAGTGTTAATGGCTACTTAATAAGTAAGGTATGTATACGCGCTGAATGTGCCTGGCTTCCCCCAGAAAAATTGAAAAACCATTGGCTTTTATAATGATGGTTGTTGCATGAATGTAGTTACTCTGTGGATCTCTTCCCACCTCTGGAACACAGGTTCCCTGAGCCAAGAATCCTCGTCTAATGCTTGTAGGTGCACACGGTACGAATGGCGCTGAATGAATGGCAGTTTGACATGCTTTCTTTGTTGAACCCTCTTTGAGGCCTCTTGGAAGCCGGAGAGAATGGAGGACAGTCCAGAAGCCTTGTGCCCTGATGCTGCTGGTTTGTCTGTGGGGTCTTGCTGTCCTCTCGGGATGCTGCCTTGGAAAGGGGGTCATCCACTTTTAGGTCAGCCTTCATTGGTGGGCAGGATGGATACTACTACACAGAGAGTCATGGTTTCTTCTATGTCAAACCTACCTCAGGACTTCTCTGGGAGAGAAAGACTTTGGGATTCAGACTTGGTGTCCCATGTGCTTCTGGGTGAGTGACCAGTATCTGGCCAAAGCCTGGACATTTGTATAAGTCTCTGTCCACGCATAGGCAGGAGAGAACTCTGCAAGCCAGTCCATGGGGGCTTATCGGAGGTAACGCCAGCCTCCCTAGAGGGTGGGAGTCAGGGAGCCAGAGCTGAGGGAGGCAGTGCTGCCTGGGGAAGAGGCGCCCTGCACTACTCTCGGCCTGTGCTGACGTTTGATTCTTGAGCAGAGGTTGCCCTTGGTGAATTCGCTTTATTGATGTTGAATCACACAAAGGCAACTTTTGTTTGAGTATCAAAGCCTGCTTGGGTGGCATTGGGGATAAAATAAAAAGTTCTGGGTCTCTGTGTATGTCATGTGCTAGACTGGATGGTGTGGATATAGGTATGGACAGGAAAGGATGTGGCTAAGACAATACCATGTGACCAGACGCGTAGTCCCAGGAACCAATGGAGAGGTGCAATGTGTCTCTTCCTCAGGTCTTCTCAGCCCAAATCCTCTTTGTTATACCAGCACCTAGGCCCCCTAGTTGCAGACACACTAGCTGTTCTATCTCAACTCTGAAGGCACCTTGACTAAACAAATTCTCTCCTTTGACAGTGTCAAAGATAATGGCCGCCTTCCCTCCTCATACCCTTCCTCTCCCCAACTCACTGGGTCAGGAGCGCTCATGTCGAATCTGTTTTCTCCCCTGCCCTACTCCCTCAACCCAATTCTGTCTGCTTCTCTTTCTTCCTCATCGTTCACAGAACCTTGTTCTCCATTTTTGGATGGGTTAGGAAATGAATAGAGGCAACCAGCATTTCATCCCGTTTACATTAAATAATAGTGATAAAAATAATCACAAAATAACACCACAAACTACCAGAATGGCTCGGAGGAAAATGTGTTCAATTGACTACAAATTGGCAGAAGAATCCAATTTTCTTGACAACATTTTAGCTATGACATTTGACCTGGGGAAACAGTACTCTGTAGACATGGGGCAGCATGTAGCCGCAAGGGGCAGCTTCAATAGTGGCGGATGCTGTGAGCAGTAATATTTGTGGGAGATGAACGCACATCGAGGAATCAAATCATCGTTCAGATTTTTAAATGGGAAAGAATTGATCCTAATGAAAATGATTTGAGGAAATAGCGAGGGAAATAAAAGAAATGAAAATGGCCCAACAGCACAGTCAAGGAAGCTAAGCAGGGAATTGGATTAGTTTAATGGAATTTACTTTAAAAAAAAAAAAGAAAGAAAGAAAGAAAAGAAAAGCGTGTTTTTATGAAAATCAATGCAGGTACAGTGTTTGGTCAGATGGGGAACTCCATGAGATTAGACTAGAGCTCCTGGAGTAGAAGGAAGACCTGGTCACAGGACAGGTTCTTTGTGTGCCTAAACTTTATTTTTCCATCCCAAACCTTTACAGAGAACTTCCTAGACAGACGTGCTGACTGGAGTACTGGTCGTCTGAGGATGTGACTGGGTACCGATGCCAAAGCATATACCTGATGAGCAGCCTTCTTTGTTTTCCTCTATCCTCGTGAAACATTCTGGGTAAGACACTGGTTCTGGGGTGGGGTGGATACTCCATGCTCAATGGAGTCTTCTCTTCCAGAGCAGTTGGTACCTGGAACATTTTAGGGCCTGCCCTTCTTTGGGTTTCCATGTAACCAGCTTCCAGTGCTAGGCTTTAAGACATGCCCATTGGCCTGGAGGCTGGCCCCATTTGGGAGATCATCATAAAGTCGATGTATCCAAAATCTAATACACCATCTGGGGTATGATAGGCACCTGGGGTTTCATGGTGGCTCTCTTTCCAAAAGGATCTTTACCTCAAAGAACCTCAGAGGCTACCTCATTGTCTTGAGCTGGTCAGTGGCTGGAGCTGTCTCTAGGACAGGTACTTGGAGGAAGAACCTAGACAAACTTCCACATGCTGTTGACTGGATGTTGTATCTACTGCTAGCTACCATCATTGCCACTGTATGGTTCTTAGGAACATTTCCAGGAGGTGATGTCAGCTGGGGGAAGAGCCTCTGTTCCACAGGTTAGTTTCCAGGACACCTAGACGAAGCTGCCCGGTGGCGTCTTTTCCCCGTATGACACACTGCATGTGACCGGTCTCTTGCCGCCCTGCCGCAAGGCTAGAAGCCTGCGTGAACTCTTGCCAAAATCAGAGAAGGGATTCTGATGTTGGTCACACTCCAAGATTTTGAAAACGAGTGGCGAACACAGAATCCATACTCTGCTTATGGCCTAAGTCAATGGATCCTGACCCTTACCGGATAACCCTCTCTGTGACGTGCCTGTGCGGGGCTGCCCTACATGTTGTCAAGAAGGGACCGTGTGGGATTTCCTTCGATTGTTTTTTCTCTCCTCCCTCCATGTTTATCTTGGAAGCTTTATTTGCTTGGTTTATGGGGTTGAATGGTCAAACAGTTCTTGCTATGACATCACTGTTGGGGGGGTTGGGTGATAGGGCGGGGATGTCAGGGTTATGAGGCTGCAGTGGTTGGCCCCAAGGAAGAGCATCTCTGGATGATGCAGTCACTGCCTTCTTGTTTCTGGAAGGCATCATCTCTAGGAGGGTGGGGTGTGCTATGTTCACAAGGTCTTAGAGCATCCCTCTCTCCGGCTTACAAGGGAGAGTTAGTGTGGGCAGAGTTCTGTGCCTGCTTCTGCTCTGAGTCAGCTCCTCTCTACCTGGGTCTCAGGGTTGGCATCTGGGAAGGCTCTAGATAGTCATTCTGGGGAGGTGAAAGTATGGTAGATTGAACTGGGGAGGTGATGGGATAATTGCTCTCATATGGTAGAGGGTGCTTCCTTGCTCAATGGGGAGGTATAAACTCTGAGGGGCTCCGGGATGGTTCTTCTGGAAACGCAGCCATCGGCCTCGTTCTGAGCATCCGAGCCTCTCCATGGTACTCGGAGAGAGGTTACCCGAGCAACTTTGCATCTGGAGGACGAATGTTGCTCGGTGAACCCCTTTTCGGTATCAAATCCCTCCAGGGAGGCCGATAGGAGGCCCAGCACCTCAGGGAAGGAACATGGACTCATCTCTGCTCTGGGGTATGGGACGGATGGTCGACCAGCTGGAAAGTAATTGTTTCTAATGTACTTCACCTGGTCCACTAGCCGTCGGTGCCCGCTGCAGCCCGCGCCCAGGATGTCACTACCTCAGCTCAACACCTCTGCTGGTACTTGAAGGGAGATCGACCGTGTTATATTCGCTTGGCTGACTTCGAATAATACATGGTTGATCTTTTCTCAGTATCAACGCTCAGCTTGGAGAAGCTCTTGGAGTTGCAGCCCTCGTGGGGGTGGGGGCAGCATGGTGCTTGTAGGTTGCTGCCTAAGCGGGGTGGGGGGGGCTGGATTGGGTGGGACAGGCTGTATGCTGTGTGTGTTCAGTTCTTCTCACCATTCATCTGCAATCCCCCTTCCCCCCCTCCCCCAGGAACAGCTTCAGGTGGTGATTCCAGCTCCAGGGTTGCTGTGGTCAACACTGGGTACTTGAGGAGAGGTTGTCTGTGGTGAGTTCGCTTTATTAATGACGAATATAACACAGATGGCCTGTTTTCAATACCACCTGCCACTCCGGTCACTCGGCAGTACATACCAGGTGTCACACCGCTGCCCGGTAGGTAAATGCATGGACTCTGTATGACGCTTTGTCACCCCTCTTCACCGAACCTCAACTCCACCTCCATCCCGAGGATCACACCAACCTCGTAGGCTGGGCCACGAAGCATTGGCCTGAGGTGCGGTGGATGACTGGAATCTGTCTACCTTCCATGCCTCTCGCCCACCACAAGTGTGGGTGTTTGTCCCTGTCTAAAGGCGTTCCACTGAGGGCTGCATGCCTGCATGCCCTGCACCCTGGGCACCTCCCAGTATCACGAGGGCTTGGAGGGATGGCATAATACTTAGGGAAGATCCAGGCCAGTCGGTTACATTGGCAGTTTCTAGTATCTGAGGCGAGATAGCCCGTGATGAGTTTCCATTCTTAAGGACAGTACAGCGCATGCTCACCTCTCTCTATCGTTGGCTCTGTGAGCCTGGGTGTCAGGGGAGGGACATACTTTGCTGACAGCTGATGGTCAAGCATGTTTCAGACTCATCCTGGCCCAGAGCATCAAATCTCCTCAGGTAGGGGTTGGGAAGTCTAGGAGAGCATCTTAGAGGAAGAAGTATCCTATAGAGAGTCCATGCTGGTGGTACCTGAAATAGGTTGTCTCTGGGATGCTTGCTTTCTATCTGATGACTGTTCCACAGCCCCACTCCTTTCTTGTACCATATCCTACCCTAGACCATTTCTACTTTGAGGCATTGACACTGGCACCAGAAGCCTTTGTGTAGATTGACTCTGTAGTCTGTATGTGAGACTATCCCTTGGCCTGTCATGTCCCCAGTTCCACCCTGTTGGAAACAGCACAGAATGTCCTCCTGAGTCTATGAGGCAGTGATACCCAAGCTCTGTCCCTGCTTCAAGCACACAGGGGTCCCAACAGGGGTCTGTACTTCTTTATCCTTTCTCCAACTTTACACTCGGGCTCTATCAGACTCCTGTGAGCTTACCATAGAGGCTTGACCCGGACGGAGACTCAGGGACCCCAGAAAGTAGCTCATCATGCCCAGTAAGAGCCTTTGAAAGACAGACTATAGATTTGGGGTATTTAGCAAGGCTCCCCATGGTGCCAAAGAGTTCTTTCTGATTAAGCATGCCTCATCCCTGCTCCCCACTGGAGCAAGTAGCACCCTCACCCTGACCACTTCACCCTGCATGCTTTCTCTCCTCTTCTCAGCCTCCTCAGCAGCAAGATGCTCTTCCAACAGAGATAGTGGCTGCTCACCCTGGCTTGGACCTAGCACATGGTCTCTCTTAGATCTCTTCCTCATGTTCAGGAGAGTCTGCCCACGCCCCTCCCTCTGGGAGCTGGTCCTGGTTGCTGTCTCCCCACAGACACTCTTCCTTAGCCCTCAAGCTTGCCCCGCCCCATCACAGGAGTTCAGGACTCCAAGGAGGATAGTGTTCCCTGCTCAGCAGTGCCATTGCAGGCAGCCTGACACCACAGTCCAGTTCCTTTGTGATACACCCTCAGACTACTTGTTAGCTATGGCTCCCCAGGTGCCTGCTCTCTCAAACCGCCTAGTACTGGCTACATGTTCCAGCCTCTTCCTGTCCCCCCCCCCAAAAAAAAAAAGCTATAAGATTTCCCAAGGCAGGGGTTGGACCTTTTCTATACATCTTTTTCCCTTCCTCCCTTTCACTCCCTCCCTCCCCCTCCCTCCTTTTCTGCTTTCTTCCCTTCCCTCCCTCCTGTCTTACTTCCCTGACTTATCCTTTGCTGTATTCTAAGCCTTAGGATCCAGGCCAGGTCTATAGTGACAGAATAATGGAGCGTGCTGATTGACTAATAGAGTCCCCAAAGGCAGAAACCATATTAAGTTAATCCCCAGGAAAGTGGTGAGCATGAAGCAGGAATTCCATAAGATGTGGTGACTGCTTCCATAAATATGGAAGCTGGCTCCTGCATAGCCTTTGCATTTGTTAGAGGCCTCCCGCCCCAGTGTGTCAATGATTTCTGAGGCTCTCTGCAATAAGGGACAGACAGGTCAGCCAGGTCTGTGGTCTTTTCTTTTACTTTTGTAGCTAGGGTCTCATGCTAGGCTTCAAATTCAGCTGAGCGCAACCCCCCACCCTCGACTCCATGAATGCCTCTGTGGCAGTGAGCCAGAGGCCCCTTGGAGGCCCTTGTGCGGCAGGCCTGAGCTGCTGTCAGGGCTAATATTTTATGCATGGGCCTAAGTAAATGGGAACATTTGGAGATGGAAATTGCTGTTAATGACACATCTTTGGAATATATTAAACGCGCGCAAGAAGGCTGCCGATCTCTCTATTTAATTGCACCAATGTAAGCGCAGCCACAGCACAGCAGCCGCAGATAGGCTACCCAAGTCTCTTCACCGCTGATGGGGAAAGCCCCAGGTACCTCACCCACCGAGGGAGTATTATGTGCAAGATGGAATGTCAGCTGGCATGCCAAGCAATCACCAACACACGAACACATACTCCAGACTCACTGGAGACCCAAAGAGGGTGATCCCTCCTGCTAGGTGCCGACTTTTATTAAAAGCAAAATTACTAGATTTATCTATTGTTTGAGGAGAAGAAAAGACAAATAAAGGACTCTGCTCATCCAGTGAGTCAAGTGAAAATGTCTGTCCCTCGGGCAGACAAGAGGAAAGCCTCCAGGGGGACCTTCAGGGGTCAGAGAATTCACCATCTCCAAGATAGTGTGTTAACCCAGTCAGTGTGCCATGGTCACAGAACACATGCTATTTCCCTGTGCCTGGCAGGTGATCGAGCCAGTTTGCTTCCTATCCCGTTGTTTCTTAGGATGTGGTTAGACTAAGCCAGTTGTCGTCTGTCCCTTTACTATTTTCAAGGAGAGAGAGAGAGAGAGAGAGAGAGAGAGAGAGAGAGAGAGAGAGAGAGAGAGCGCACCTGATGGTATCTGGAGAGCTGCACACTATTCTGAATGGGCTAGGGCAGTCCTAGAGATAGAGTCAGTAAAGTTTCTTTGTCAAGGCTTAAAGGGCTGTGGCAACCTGTGTACCCCTTGAGCTGCTCACTGTAGATGTTCAGAAAATGCCTGTCTTCCTTGAATCAAATGGCCTTAGGCACCAGCACCAAGGAGGTGAGGGACAGATAGCTGTGGGGAAGCCCAGAGACTGTTTGTGGAATGAATAAATAAAAACGCACCCTTTTTTTGAGGAAATTAAGAAACAGGGAAAGGGCAGGCAATATAAATCTCCAGCAACATTGCCAATGCCACAGCTGGGCCCGCTGAAAAGACCCTGTGGAGGTGGTGGGGTCATTTGTCATGGGCGAGGACAGGCTTAAGGGCTGGGACACAGGCCCTGCTGGAGGCTCGTCTGTCATTTTCTCATTATCCCTGCGACGTGGAGGGCAGCTAGCGGATCACAGAACAGCAGCCTCCCAACAGAGGCGGCAGGGCTGTGAGTGCGAGGGACCCCGAGGGAGGGCAGGCTGCCCCAGGCCCTGCCCCCTCCAGGAAGCCTTCTCGCTCCAGCCCAACACACTGTCCTCGGATGTTCATCGTGTATCAACGAGACTGTGGAAGGGCCCCTGATAACTTGTTCCCATGTGTCCCTTTGCTTGCCTGGGTTTGGTGTATCGGAGACACTGTGAATGCTTGTTGGTCTATTCCTTTTTAGGCAAGTGACGCTGAATTGGTCCTTGGGAGCCAATGTTCAGGATCTCTGCCTACACTCCCTCCCAGCTGCTCATCCTAGGTTGAGACATCCCATTGGGGGCTTCCATGGGAGACCTATGGCTATTAACAAGCCCCAAGGCCTGACCTGAAGCCATCAGTGGCCCAGGTGAGTGTATGCCCTCAGGATTTATACTTAGCTTCTTTATAGCTTGGAGCAGTGCTGGGGTTTTCCCAGGGCACGAGGGGTGCAGAAGTTGTGTAGAAGATGCACAGAACGGGGTTGAAGGCACGCATCCCAGCCCTACACACACACACCCCAGTCCCCCCCCGCCCCAATCCTGCCATCTGTGACAGCTTCGTTTTCGCTAACACTCAAAAATACATGGTTCTGCTACGCTCTCCTTGGCAGGCAGGGTAGCCAGAGCTGCAGGGTTGCCAAGGCCTGGGGGAGCCGCCAGCCTGCAAAGTTTACTGTACAAACAGTTGGGGCGGGAGGGGGGGGAAGAGGGTGCGTCTCTGTTAACTCAAAATCCCCATCAGTAAACATGGCAGTTTAAAGTGTAATTAACTCAGGCCGGAAAAGAATTCTGATTTGGACTGCTTTTCACAGTTGAGATTGTTTTACTTTTATTTATTTATCTCTTTCCGGGTGTGGTGGTGTCTGTGGAGGGTTTTAGCCAGGAAAAATAGAAACGGGGAGGGCTTGGTGGGATGAACCAGTTGAGACTGAGAATGCTGGCAGGGAGGGGGAGATGGGCTTGCCACATAAAGCCTGGGGTCTTCATCTGTTTTCTGTCCTGGGCGGTGGGTGGCTTCTTGCAGATGGAGGGACTATTCGAGAAGGTGTGCCAGGGCCGCTTACTGAGAAAGGGACACAGGTAGCTCAGGGATTATAGGGTTCTGGGGTGACTCAGACACTTGAGGCTCCCTCTAATGTCTCTTTGCTTCTGTCTCACAGTAGCTGCTCTGCCTGAGTTTGTTGCTTTTCCTCTCCCTGGATCTCCTGCTTACGACTACCGACTACCAACAACAAAGATGTCTGACCCCAGAAGATACTCCCCACTGCCCACCTCAAAAGACTATCCACAAGCCAGTGGGATCCAATACCCCCTCCCCCACCCCCAATGCACCCTGTGCTATCCACTGAGTCCCCATAGCCCTACTTCTCACCCATGCCTCATGTCCCACCCCGAGCCTTGCATTTCAGATCTGAGCAGCCCTTGCTTAGGAACCTGAGGAGGGGGTGGGTACGCAGACCCAGGGGACTGAGCAGGGAGGGGGAAGGAGGGATTTCTGCTCTTGGCTTTCAAAGTCTCAGTGTATGTATCCCTTTGAATAATAAACATATATTATAAAATGTAAATATGCTTGCGTGTCTGTATTCAGGGGGACTTTTGTTAAGTGGGGCATGGGGGTTAACAGCATGGTCTGGTCTCTTTCAAGAGGGACCTCCTGGGATGTCTCTGGTCTCTACCCTGAAAGCCCTTTGCTGAAAGCAACATCCAGAACGAAGCAGGGGTTCACACCTGGATTCCTGACCCCCGATCCCCCCGTACCAGCCCCATAGTCTGATTCAAGAACCAGGGACATGAAAAGATACCCTTTCCTATCTTTCTGGGGTCTCACATGGGCCCCGCCCCCTTCCAGCTCCATCTGAACAAGCCGAACCCCCTAGGGCAGAGGCTAGATCCTGGGATACAGCCTGTGCCCACGCGCCTCTCATTGCCGGGCCTCAGCTTGGTCACGACTCAGCAGGGTTGACTCAGACAGAGCCCGGAGCAGGAGACTCATAAATTACATAATTACCCATGAAACCTGCCGCCACCGCTCTCTCCAGCCGGGAGGGACACGCGCTCCGCACAGGCTCTGGCCGGTAGTGACTCACTGTTTTCCCCAGAGCCTCTGCCCGCCCACCCACACAGCCACCTCATCTTGGCTAGATGGGCAGGAGGAGGGGGACCTGGACTCCATCCCCCCCCTCTTCCTGTCAAGACAAAAGCAGGCAGGCAGGCAGGCAGCCCCCGTCTTGCTGAGAGGGCTTAAGTGGGGGCACTTGCCCCTCTACCGTCCCTCTGCAGCCCCCTGGTGGTACTTCTCATAGATGGCTGCTTGTGACAAAGGAGGAAACTGAGGCTTGGGAGGCAGCCTGTCTCCTGTCCTTCCTGCATGATGGCTTTGGTTATAGCTGATCAGACCAGCAGAGAGAACCTTGAAGTCTCCAGCTACCCACATTCCCCCAGTGTAGGGAAATTCGAGGGCGGGGTGGCAGTAGTGGGTGGGTGGGTGGGAGAACACCCTCATAGAAGCAGGGCAGGGAAGATGGGATAGGGGGTGGGAACCAGCAAAGGGTTTGAAATGTAAATAAAGAAAATATCCAATTTTTTTTAAAAAAAAAAGGTGGGGGAAGACTTCTAGCCCTTTCTCCAAGGCCCTTAGGTAGAAACTAAGTGCATCTTTGAAAAACAGTTCAAAAATGATGGTGCACTTTGACAGGCAGAAGGTGGCCTTTCCAACCCACATGGGGTAGGGTGGGGTAAGGGGGCTCTTGGGAGAAATAGCTCAACCAGTAAGGTGCTTTCCATGCAAGCATAAGGAACTGAACTCAGAGCCCCATGTAAAATGTCAATCACAGTAGTCTGGACCTGCACAGTAAATGTCTATAACCCCAGCATGCTGGGAAGCCAGCTAGCCAAACCTGGAAGGAAGCTCCAGGTTGTGTGAGAGAAAAATGTCACACACACACACACACACATACACACACGTTAAATAAAATGGAGTGTAGAACCACTTGCTGACTGTCCGAGTATGGCTGTCTCCTGAGAGGTTTTGCCAGAGCCTGACCAACGCAGATGCAGACTGATGCTCGGATGCTCGCAGCCATCAGACTGAGCGTGGGAACCCCAATGGAGGAGTGAGGAGAAGAACTGAAGGTGCTGAAGGGCTTTGCAACCCCATAGAAAGAACAACAATGTCAACCAAACAGAACCCCCACCCCCAGAGCTCCCAGGGACTAAACACCAACCAGAGTAGCATAGCTCCAGCTGCATATGTACCAGAGGATGGCCTTATCTGGTATCAGTGGGAGGGGGAGGCCCTTGGTCCTGTGGAGACTCAATAACCCAACGTAGGTGAATGCTAGGGAGTGGGTGAGTGAGTGGGAGGGGCGTGGGTGGGAGGAGCTTCCTCATAGAAGCAGGGGGGATGGGCAATGGGATAGGGAGTCTGTGGAGGGGAATCCGGGAAGGGGGATAACATTTGAAATGTAAATTAATAAAATAAGCAAAAAAAAAAAAAAACAACCCAAAAGTATAAGTGGCTGTGTCTAAGCCAGAGTCTGATTCTTGAAATCCACATGGTAGAAGCAGAGAACATATTCTAGCACACTGTGATCTCCTCCATATGCTTGCTTTGATATGCGTGCACACAAAATAAATAAACAAATGCAAAACAAAGATCTTTGAAAGCTGGGGATGATGGAAGATACCTCACGTCGACCTCTGATCTCCGAGTGCACACGCATGCACAAACACACAGATACTCAACTAGATAAGGAGATACTATCTGAGGCTGGATAGACAGCTCAGTGGTGACACTCATAACTTATTTCAGAAAGACCCAGGTTTGATTCCCAGTACCCACGTAAAATAAAAATAACCCAAGCAGCATAAATAAATATAAAACATAATAAATAAATATAAACATAAAAATAAATATAATAAATAAAACATAATAAATAAAACATAAAAATAAATATAAAACATAAATAAAAATAAACAAAAATTTTTAAAAATGCTTCTTTAAAAATAAACAAATAAACAAATAAATAAGTAAAACCTGACTGTATAGGCTCCATAGTCTAAGGGCTTTGTTTCAGATCCTGTCTGTGTTACCCTCTACGGGTATTTCTGCCTTTCTCTTCTCAGCTTCAGTTTCCTTAGGTACACATTAGGATCAACTCCATCCTACTAAGGAGGATAGACAAGGGGGATTTTTTTTTCTGGCAGTGCTTTAGGCTTTTTTTTGACTTGAGGGCTCCCTCCAAGGCCCTTCTTGAGTTGGGGGCTCCCTTTAAGGGTCTCAATGAATTGCAGCTCCCTCCAAAGTGCTTACTGACAGGGCAGTTCCATCCAAATCTCTCACTGAGTTTTAAGATACCCTCTTTTAGGTTAATTCATAGACTATTACAATCCCTCCTGCCCCTCAGTCCAGAATCATACACCGGTGTCCCCTGACTCCTCATGGACACAGAGTCACATTTTGAAGCTTGCCCATATCCAGGGACTATGCACTCCCAAGCCTTCTCAAGATGCCTTTCCTGAGTACCCTAGCAACTGACAGAAACCCTCAAATAGAAAAGACACTATGCTCCAGTCAGCATCTGAGTTCCAAGTAAACATCCTTGATGAGTTCTGAAGGAGCAGAAGATCCCCCAGGGGTAGACCTGAGCCATCAAGAGACACTCCCAGGCAGATAGAAAGATGGCCCAGTGGTAGAACATCTGCCAAGGGCTTCCTAATACCCTGAGTTCAACCCCCCAAACCATGATTTCTTTTATAAAAGGGCTGATGTGCACCTGAGGACCAGGATTTCTAGGAGGACCATAGATGGGGTCAGAGGGTACTGAGGGGCCCAGGATGCAAAAATGGGGAGGAGTTCTAAAATGGAGACACGTGTGTGCTTGTGTCAGAAACTGGGCGAGAAGAAAGGAACAGGGTTCAAGTGAAGGGATTAGGGATGTGGTTCAGTAGTTAGAGTGCTTGCCTGGCATGCCCACAGCTCTAGGTTCGATCCTCAACACCCCATAAAATGGGAGTGTGGCTAACACGTAGAATTTCAGAACTCTGAAAGCTAAAGGAAGAAAGGAAGGCCAGATTCATCATGGTTGCAGAGCCAGCTCAAGGCCAGCCAGTGTTATATGAAACCCTCGCTAGAAAAATTAGATAGATGATAGATAAGACAGACAGACAGGTAGATAAATATAGATGATAGATTGATTGATTGATAAATACATGATTAATAGATGGATGATAGATAGATAGATAGATAGATAGATAGATAGATAGATAGATAGATAGATAGATAGATAGATCAATCTCTATGAATCATGGCTTTCACTAGCTCCTTCTGAAACCAAAACAAGAGATATTCTGAGCAGCTGTCTCTGGGGTATTTTGCATGATGCCACTGAGCCAAAGGTCTCTCTCATTTTCCCCTCCTGGCTAATGAGGCTGCCCCAACTTTGACCTTATGGTGATGAGGCTCTGTTCACACAGATAGTTTGTCTCTTATCTCTTCCTCTAGCATCTGGGTATCCTGAAGCTCACGCTTGTTTGTTCTCAGTGCTCAGAGGACCCTACCCTTCTCTGAGGATGTTCAACTGGCCGTGCCCCTGCTGTGATGGGTGTCAGAGAGGCCACCCTGTGAGTGGATCACAAAGTGAGGGGATTACACACTGCCTAAACATAACAGCAGGGGTTCCCCCACACGAAGAATGTTTACATTCCAGTAGTCAGTGTCCTCCTGGGGCTTGGGAATGGACCAAGGGGGTAAAGTATTGATGCCAGCCAGTCTAGTTGACCCCAATTGGGCTCTAAATCCAAGATGGGACTGTTCAAAGGTGGCATACACTCTGACACACCTGAACACCCAACCCAGCTTTTCCACATAGCTGCTTTGTGACCTATGGGCCTTCCCTTGAATCCTCTGAATGCTGCCCTTGTCAAATGATCTGGGTTCTTGGGACTCAAGACCATGTTGAGTGTGGTGTCCAGTGAGCAGCAGATGCTCCATCACCTCTAGGTCTCTTAGCCTTCTTTTGCTTTCCTGACTTACCCTATGCCTGGTGCAGACACCAGCAACACTGTGCCTGGAACAGAGATAGGATCAGAGTGCAGCCATGGACACTTTCTTATGGAAGAAGAGGATTGTTAACATAACTCCAGGTGGGGAGTAGACCATCTCACGTTAAGAGGCACGGGAGTGGGCAATCTTAGGTTAAGGGACATGGAGTCCCCAGAGCCTGACCACTAAGGGAGCTGTTATTACCCCCCAGCTTGTTGCCATACTCCCCTACAGTTTCCTTCTATGTTGACAGTTTCCTTGGCAGATCTAAAAGGAAGAGGTAACCCTCATCCTACAGTGGGGGCATGGTTGGGATTTCAGGCTACTGCCTCCCTGGGCTT